TGGAAAAGCCACACAGTTTTTTGTTTTATGTCCTGCTTGGGTGTTTTGGGCCCACTGGGGAGAAAGTCTTCTGGCCTTCAGAACATGCTTCAGGAAAGGCGGGAGGCCTTCTGAAGAAGCCCTCGCGCCTTCTAGAAGGCTTCAAAAACTTCCTTTCCCCCCCTCGCTCGCCGCCGACCTGGGGCTGTTCCGGTCGTGATTTTCACCACGCCGCAAACCCTTCGAGGCGTCGGATCCCAGGGAACACATGGAAAGCCACAAGGTATTTTTTAAGCCTGCTTGGGTGTTTTGGGCCCACTGGGGGAGAAGTCTTGTGGCCTCTCAGAACATGCTTCAGAAGGCGGGAGGCCTTCTGAGAAGCCCCGCCGCCTTCTGAGAAGGCCTTCGCCTGCTCTTTACCCCCCCTCGCTCGCCGCCGACCTGGGGGCTGTACCGGTCGTGTTTTCACCTCGCGCAAACCCTTCGAGCGTGGATCCCAGGGAACCATGGAAACACAGGTTTTTTATGCCCTGCTTGGGTGTTTTGGGCCCACTGGGGGAGAAGTCTTGTGGCCTCTCAGAACATGCTTCAGAAGGCGGGAGGCCTTCTGAGAAGCCCCGCCGCCTTCTGAGAAGGCCTTCGCCTGCTCCTTTCCCCCCCTCGCTCGCCGCCGACCTGGGGCTCCGGTCGTGATTTTCACCACGCCGCCTTCGAGGCGTCGGATCCCAGGGAACACATGGAAAGCCACAAGGTCTTTTTATGCCCTGCTTGGGTGTTTTGGGCCCACTGGGGGAGAAGTCTTCTGGCCTCTCAGAACATGCTTCAGAAGGCGGGAGGCCTTCTGAGAAGCCCCGCCGCCTTCTGAGAAGGCCTTCGCCTGCTCTTTCCCCCCCCTCGCTCGCCGCCGACCTGGGGCTCCGGTCGTGATTTTCACCACGCCGCAAACCCTTCGAGGCGTCGGATCCCAGGGAACACATGGAAAGCCACAAGGTTTTTGTTATGCCCTGCTTGGGTGTTTTGGGCCCACTGGGGGAGAAGTCTTCTGGCCTCTCAGAACATGCTTCAGAAGGCGGGAGGCCTTCTGAGAAGCCCCGCCGCCTTCTGAGAAGGCCTTCGCCTGCTCCTTTCCCCCCCTCGCTCGCCGCCGACCTGGGGCTCCGGTCGTGATTTTCACCACGCCGCAAACCCTTCGAGGCGTCGGATCCCAGGGAACACATGGAAAGCCACAAGGTTTTTGTTATGCCCTGCTTGGGTGTTTTGGGCCCACTGGGGGAGAAGGCCTCTCAGAACATGCTTCAGAAGGCGGGAGGCCTTCTGAGAAGCCCCGCCGCCTTCTGAGAAGGCCTTCGCCTGCTCCTTTCCCCCCCTCGCTCGCCGCCGACCTGGGGCTCCGGTCGTGATTTTCACCACGCCGCAAACCCTTCGAGGCGTCGGATCCCAGGGAACACATGGAAAGCCACAAGGTCTTTTTATGCCCTGCTTGGGTGTTTTGGGCCCACTGGGGGAGAAGTCTTCTGGCCTCTCAGAACATGCTTCAGAAGGCGGGAGGCCTTCTGAAGCCCCCCGCCTTCTGAGAAGGCCTTCGCCTGCTCCTTTCCCCCCCCGCTCGCCGCCGACCTGGGGCTCCGGTCGTGATTTTCACCACGCCGCAAACCCTTCGAGGCGTCGGATCCCAGGGAACACATGGAAAGCCACAAGGTTTTTTTTATGCCCGCTTGGGTGTTTTGGGCCCACTGGGGGAGAAGTCTTCTGGCCTCTCAGAACATGCTTCAGAAGGCGGGAGGCCTTCTGCGAAGCCCCGCCGCCTTCTGAGAAGGCCTTCGCCTGCTCCTTTCCCCCCCTCGCTCGCCGCCGACCTGGGGCTCTGGTCGTGATTTTCACCACGCCGCAAACCCTTCGAGGCGTCGGATCCCAGGGAACACATGGAAAGCCACAAGGTTTTTTTTATGCCCTGCTTGGGTGTTTTGGGCCCACTGGGGGAGAAGTCTTCTGGCCTCTCTTTGTCCTCTCGTGGCGATCCGGGCCCTTCCTGGGGCGGCAACCCCGAACAACGCTCGCTCGTGCTCCCTCCCGTGGGCCCCCCGTGGGCCTGCCTGGGGGCTTCTTCGTGCTGCTCTGGAGGCGTCGTGCGCACTCCTGCGAGGCCTCTCTTGGGCAGACCTGGAGGGCCGCGGAGGCTCCTGGGGCCATGCTGAGGCACGTTGGGGCCGCCTCCGGCCTGCTGGAACCCCGCAGGGCGGCCGCGGGCCAGTCTGGGGGGGCATCTTCGGCCGCCTGGAAGCTCTCGGGGCCCTACTGAGGAAACCAGGGGCGCCCCCATGCCAGCTGGTGGCAGCCATCCGGACCGCTCCCCCGACAGCGTCCACGCTCGGAGGACGACAGGTAACGAAGAGGAAGATTGGGGGGGAGAAGGAGGAACACGAACGGGTGGTGGGGCGGCCGCCCCTCCCGAAACCGCCAGGGGGGCGTTCGGGCTTGAGCTTCCCACTGTGTCCAGCCTTGGCCGCGAGAGGGTGCCCTGTAGGCCCAGGAGACTCGGAAACGTCCAACGACCCGTTTGGACCGTCTCGGAGCCCGAAAGTTCGGTCGGGCCTGTCCCCCGACAGTGGGACGCTAGCAAAACAATGAAAATACAAGAAAAAAGCTTTAACAATGCTCAAAAAAGGAAAAAAGATCGTCCCCTGACTAATTTTTGTGCTCTTTTTGAACATTCCACCTGTAGAGGGACAGGCCCGACCTAAGCCAAAAATTCTAACATTTAATCGAGGTCCTGGCCCGGGGGGCACAGCGCGTCTTGGAGGCCTCCTCGGGGCCTCCTGGGGGCGCTCTCGGGGGCTCTTTTAAGTGGGGGCTGTTTGGGGGCCTCTTGGGAGCCTCTTGGGGTCTTCTTGGGGTCTTCTTCGGGCCTCTCGGGTGCCTCTTGGAGCCTCTCTGGGGCCTGTTGGTGCCTCCTGGGGGCTCCATCGGGGCCGAAAGCTTGGAATGTCCGCTCGGGTCCCCCCTCTGGGGACCGTCTTTGGGGCCTCTTGGGCGGTCTTGGGCGCTTCTTGGAATATAGTGGAAGCATCTTGAGCCGGTTAAGAGCTTTCTTGGAGGCCTCTTGGGCTGTCTTGGAGCGATCTTTAGTGCCTCCAGGGCCGTCTTGGAGCGTCGGGAAGCCGAAAAGGCGAGAAAGCAAAAAATCTGCAATAACCAAAGGAACAGCAATGATGTTGGCCTCTTGGGGCCCTCTTGGGAGGCCTCTTGGAGGCCTCTTGGGGCGTCTTGGAGACCTCTTGGACCGTCTGGGGGCCGTCATGCGCCGTTTTGGCGGTCTCGAAGCGCGTTTGCAGGCTATCTGGGGCCGTCTTCGTGCGATCTTGACGGGCCTCCGGAGCGCCTTTAGGGCGCGGGGCAGTCCGGCCTCTGGGGCCGCCCTGGAGGCGTCTGGGGCCCTCTTGGAGGACTCTTGGGGTGACGTCGGGCCCTCTTGGGGCGTCATGAGCAGTGGTGGGGCGATTTGGGAGGCCTCTGTGGCCACCTCGGAGCCTCGGAAAGCCCAAAAGGCGACAAGGCCCAAATCATTCAAAACATTGACGTATCACTGAAGTTTGCATCTTTTGGGGGATTCTCGGGTGCCTCTTGGGGCCTTCTGGGGGCCTCTCGAAGCCGAAGGCTCGAACTGTCAATTCAGGTCTCCCGTTTGAACCCCCTCTTGGAGCCGTCTTGGGGCCCCTGGGTCGTCTTGGAAGCTTGGGCCGTGATGTTTGGGCGTCTCGGGGCCCTCTTAGAGCGTTTGAGGGCTTTATTATGGGCCCCTTCTTGGGGCGTCCTGGGGCCCTCTTCGTCCGTCTTGGGGCCCTCTTGGGCCCTGGGGCCCTCTTGCGAGCCTCTTGGGCCGTCTTGGAACGATCTTGGGGGCCTCTCGGGCCGTCTTGGACGCTGCAAAAGCCCTAGATGCGACGATGGTAAAAATATACGTTTCCCAAAGGGAGCGGGGCCAATTTTGCCTCTTGGGGCCCAGGGCTCCCTTGGGAAGCCTCGTGGGGGCCTCTCGCTTGCTTGTTCCCGCCGCTCTGTAGCCAAGTGAGCGTTTTTTTGATTCGGCGTTTCGACCTTGGGCGGAAGGGGGAGGGGAGGGGGGGGGAGTCTCGCTCCAGACCTCTGCTTAGCGTGCCTGTTTGCAGGAGTGCCCTCCTCGAAACAGGCCCCCCGAACAGCCAAGATCCACTCCATGGGGAGGGGGGACGGCGGGGGTGCGAGGGCCCGCGCCGATCGGCAAAGCAATGCATAAGAAAACGATCACCATTCTCGCCATCGCTCGGACACCCATTCCCTGTGTTCTTTTCGGTTGTGTGCGTGGTTTTTCCGCCAAATCATCAAGGATGCTCCTCGATGGTCCTCGCCGAAGGAAAATGCCAGACGTCCAAGCGATGCCAAGCCATTGGCACGATGCCCAACGACACAGGTCGTCCAACACCGACCGCGGCCGCTGCTGGGCAAGCGACCGTGTGCCTCCAGTGGACAGCGCCCGCGTGGACACCGGCAGCGAGTCCTGCTCAGACTGGGCACGACCTGCTGGGAAAGCCCAAAGGGTACTCATACCTCTACAGTCGGGGCGTTGACCTAAGGAACCCGAGATAAGGAACGAAGCCCCTTTTTTCCATAAGCTAAACTTCGATGTCCCATCGAAAACATAAGGAAACCCTGAGGCAAGCTGTGAAACAACTAAGGAACACGGAGCCCCTCCACAACGAAAAGGGTTCCTTCTTCAGCGCACCGACGGTACTCCCGAAACCTCTCCCGGGGCGCGAAGCCCCGCGCCGATCGGCAGAGCAATGCAGAACAAAAAGGTCGCCACTGGCACGATGCCCAGCGACACAGGTCGTCCAAAACTGATACCTCAACTCCCGAAGCCTCTACTCCCGAAACCTCTCCCGGTGTGCGAGGGCCCGCGCCGATCGGCGGAACAATGCATAAAAAAACGATGACCGTTCGCCCGTGCGCCCTCCGGAGCCCAACGACCGGGAGCCGCGGCTGGCCTTGAAACTGGCCCAGAGGCGGTCCCACCACCTGGAGCGGCGCGGGGGTCGAAACGGGCGGGCGCAGGGTGTTCGGTTGCCCCGCATCGCGCAGGAGGAGGGAGGCGGATGGGGGGAGCGAAGAGACGCAGGCGGAGGAGGAGGAGGAGGAGGAGGAGGAGGAGGAGCAGGAGGAGGAGGAAGAGGAGGGAGGAGCGAAGAGACGCAGTAGGAGATCGGATCGGGATCGGGCTTGTGGAGTTCGCGTGTCAGCTCGACCGAGGCGTGTGAAACCCTGTATCGTGCTACGCATGGAACTCTGAGTGGCGTGGCATTGTGAGACGTCGACCTTCCTTGGCGGCCCCTGCGCTCGGGCAGGGCCGCGCTGCCCCATTAGGGGCAACCCCCGCTCGAGGCGCGCAGCCGTGGGGGCGCCCCCTGGGGGCCGATGAATTACACCTAGCCTCAGGCGCCCCCTCATAGAGGCGAGAAGCCCGTAGCCCCCCCACCCCACTCCCGCGACCCAACAGCAGGGAGCCACAAGGGCCAGAGGCCGCACTGCTAGGTCGAGGGGAGGGGAGTGGCAGGGCCACGCGCCTCAGGGGGGGGCCCGAGAGACGTATGCACAGGACGGGGGCCGCAAGAGAAAAAAAAAAAAAACAACGGAAAAAAAAAACTTATCTTCCCTGGGAATGCCCGCGACCACCTCCTCTCCTTCCGCCTCCTCCTCGCCCGCGCCCCCTGGGCGTCGGCCTTAAAAGAACCGTGGGGGCGGGCGGAAGAGAGGGGCCGTCGGCCGTAGGGAATGGAAGAGGGGTGGGCGCAGTCCTATCTCGTAGCACATCGGGCGGTGCGCGTCCACGCGCGATCAGCTCACGAAGGCGGGCGCTCTCATGAAGTGCTGATGGAAGCCGTGCTTCAGAAGGTTGGTACGGCACATGTGGAGGCCGTACTTCTGAAGGTTGGATGTTCACGCCATCATCAGGGGTAGTCGCGCTCGCTTCTTCAACTGGTTCAGCAACTGTGTCATGTCCAGGATGGCCGCGCGCAGCATCGGGATCCACTTGCGGCCGAGCGCGTGATCGGAATCGATCGCCACGATGAGACCGTCTTTCTTCTCGGGGGCCTGCTGCCCGCCCTTGTCGCGCTTCCACTGCAAGTGAAGTACCACCTCTCCGACCGCGTGAATGGTCATCTTCTGCGCGTACTCTAGATAGAAGGCTTTGCCCCAAGGCGCATCCTGCCTGGCCAGCCACATCATTCCTGAGATAAATATGTGTAGATGCGGGGGGCCGCGCCCTTTGAAGTCCACGGTCTCGCCCTTCTTGCGCTTCCCTGCCCGATCTTGACACCGTCGGCCTGAGATCCCCATCTCGTCTGCGAAGACTCCATCTGTGAGAAAAAGCGCCCGGGTAGTGTATCCCGTCGCCGTGATGGCCCTGCTGTTCGCCAGCGCCAGGAGTGCGATGAGAATGGCCAGCTTCGCGATGGCCTCGCTGTCGCCTTTGCCTGCCTGCGGCGCCGCGCGCGCCTCGGCCTTGGCCTTCATCGCGCCTGGTGGCCCCCCAGCAGGTGGGGGCGTCTGAAGCCAGGCGGGGGCCTCCAGGTCGGCCATATACTCCAAGTAGATCAGTAGCGACGGCGCGGCTCACAGGAGCTGGTGGCGCCACTTCTCGAGGAAGATGGCTACGGAGGTGAAAGCAGATATCGTCCAAGTCGGCGGCTCGGTAGTCGCAGGGAACACAGTTTAGCGAGAGGGCGGGCTGGACGGGGAGGAGCGTGAATATACCTCTGTTCGGGCATTGACCTTTAAGGATAGCTCGTCGAAGATGTTTGTACGCATTCCCCTGGCACCCGAACGTCTGTCGGCGCACGATGCGCGTACTTGTTGGTGTGAGGACCGAACTGAGATTTCGAACCGAGTGGATCGTGCGCATGTGGCTTAGAAGATCCCGACGAGTGCAGAATGTGCAGCCACATATTTGTTTCTCTCCGATCTCAGTCTCGAGCAGCCAGTCGCACGTCCAGTCCTTCTGGGCCTCAACGGGTGGAGGCACAGCTTCAGGCACCGTCTGCATGTGAGTCGGTGGAACGGCGTGCGACAGGGCACGAGCTCGGATCTCCGTGAAGTCTAACTGGGAAAGCTCTTCTAAAAAGTCTTTGTCGGTCAATCGCCCAGGGTTAGCACTGATGTAGCTGCATACTTCTTGCCCCCCGTCCAAGTCCTCGGCAGCCCTCTGGAAGTCCCTCTGGAGCCTGTGGAGCCATGGGGAAGCTGCAGTAGAGGGTGCATCCCCATCTAGGTGCCCACCTCGATTTCCAGGAACCTCAAGAAACCCGAAAAGTAGGCAGAGCTCCTGGGAGTGCCTCTTGGGGTCCTTGGCCCATCCTGCATACCAATGAAGACGACGAATGATGAGTTCCGTCTCCGACGACGCGATCCTCCAATATGCCAGTGTCTCCTTCGGCGACATCGATCTTACTTCGTCCTCGTGGTAAGTCGTAGCTCGCCCCTGCATCGCCCGTCGGCCGAGTCGTGCGATCTGACCGTCTAGCATACCGTAGTGCACTGGGCCCAGGAGCAGGGGTTCGAGGCCCGATAGGGCTGCATTCTGCACAAAGTTGATGAACAGAGTCCGCATCCACCGATGCGGCAGTGCAAGAGACCATACTCTACCCAATGAGTAAAAAGAGTCTGCGCTCGCTGCACAGCGTCGGCCGACCTCGACCTCGACTGACTGGTTGATACTCAGCATCGGCCCAAGGTGGCGCACTGTGTCTTTAAAGTTGCCTGGCACAAACTCTGGATGGGATCGCGTCCGCCTTTTACACGTTGTGGGCCCTGTCCCATGAAAATACATCTGGAGTTCCTGCTTCGATGGGCTCCGAGCATGCCCCGCCTCCCCGAGCTTCTGATCAAGATCGTCGTCGAAATCCCTCAGCGCGTTCAGGAAGTCTTCTAGGAGGATAGGGGCGGGAACCAGATGTGCCTGACAAACGTCGTCGGCGTAAGTGCATCCCCCCACATCAGCGCTCAAGTCCCTCCATCTTGCCGTTAAATTAGTAGCCGTAGTGTCTAGGGTCTGCAGTGCGTACTTCCATTTCGCTAGTGGTCGTGTAAACGTACCCCGAAAGAGCTGGGCCACGAACGGGCCCCCCATGAGCCCCCCTTCACCCGTCTTCAAGGTAACCTCGCCCTCCAGGGTCTCAAGAGTGATCGTGCTCAGCTTGAAACGTTGAATACAAAGATCTATGTTCTCGGGCTGTGCGTACATGTGCATAGTCTCCTCCAACTCCTCCCACCGCCCACAAGCGACAGCGTTGCTCAGATCCTTGTAACTCAGGGCAAAACAGCAGCCTGCCATCCGAAGCCGCCAACCTAGCAACTGATTCACGGGAATGGCGTGGCGTCCTCTCGCCTCTTGCCAGGGATGAAGCCGTGCTCGAAAATCTCATGGGGCACGTGCAGCATGTCGTGATAAAAAAAAGCTTTGCCCAGGGCGCTCATCGCGTGCGCAGTTGGACGACCCTTGGGACCAGGTGTCGCATTCTTCCGAAGCTGAGCGCCCTGGATGTGGTGCCGTGCCACTGGCGCCCTGTTGGTCGAGCGGATCTGCCGAAAAGCTGCTTCCATGAATGTTTTGAAACATTCCATATCTGGCAGTGAAAGATCAAAACCTACTCCGTAGCCGTCGTGCTCGATGTTACGCTCGGGGTTCAAGCACATCAACCAAAGCTCCATCGGCGCAGTATCTCGTGGCACGGCTCGTCGTTTTTGTGCTCGCCGAAAAAAACGTGTGACTCGCCATGCGTCCTTCTGTGCCAGCTCACAATCGTCGACACCAATGTAGGCGGGCCCAGGATCAGGATATTCTTCCAGGAGTTGCGCCACCGTCTTGGGCGACGCGCGCATGCCGCCCTCGCAGCCAGGGAGGCCGCAATACTGTGTGATCTCTGCTTCCGTGAACGCGCCACCTCGAATCAATCGGCCGTCCTTTTTTTTGCACCATATCTGCATGCCCCCGCGAGTCGTGTCAGTCGCATAGCCTCTGCAAGCTTCCGTCTGTTCCAGGCGTCGTCGATTTCCTGCAGGAGGCCCTCGCGTCGTCGACGCTGTAGCTCCTGCCGAAGAAGCTTGAGCTGTTGAGAAATCCTTTTTCGTGCTGCCTCACAAGATGCCAACTTCTCGTCGTCCGCTGCAGCACGTGCCAGTCGAAGTTCCGCTCGTTCTCGTATTAGCCGTTCCCGTTCGTCTTTTTCTCGCTGGTAGCTCTCGTCCGTCGTGACCTTGGGTTTGAAGAATCGTTGTCCCACCTGAATGAGAAGTGATTCGATGAATGCGAAGGTCTCGTCATGTCGCCCACGCGTTAGTAGCTCCCGCCACGTATCCTCATTGTCCATCAGCTGCTGGTGAACGGCCCTCAGAAACTCGGATCTCTGGTCTCCACGACGTACTGCTTCCATAATTGCGTCCATATTCCAAGGAGGATTGAATACCTTCCCTCGCGGGGTCCAGTCCTTAACACATCTCATTTCCATGTACAATGGCACATGGTCTCGGGGGGGACGTCCACGGTATGCTTGAAGTGATGCTCCAAGTCGATACAAAGGGTGGCAAACTTTGACGAAGTCCGTCATGCCCAATGGGGCGCAGATAACATCAATGGTACTCTGACCGCCGGAAGTGCCGAAGAAGGTGGGTTGTAGATCCGCCGACCGCGTGTTCATAGCCAGCATAAAATGTTGCTCATGTACCTGTCGAAGTCGCTCGCCTGCTCCCAGTCTACGATGCTCTCGACTGCGGCCGTCACCCACGGCGTCGGTCATAACCTCTCGCCATGTGCCTGCCGCTCTGCTGATACCCTGCCCGTCGTTGAGGTCCACATATAATATTGGTGTGCTCCGAAATGGTAGTGCCGAAAGTACACTATCGTACCAGGCTATGAGCACCTTTACCGTCTGCAAGTAGTTAGGTGTCTCTTTCGCGTACTTCAGCTGGGGGGGAAATTATAGGATGATGATCGTCAGATCGAAGGGTCCTCTAAGAAGTCG